ATGTGAAATTGAGGGAGTAGTGAAAGACGGAGAAGGAAGAAAAGCCAGTAAAGAGTACATTTCTGAGTTGTTTACCACTGTAGGCAACAAGGGCTCAATGTACTAGGAGCCTGCTATAAAACCACATGGAACTCATCTCAGCACTGTTCCACTGGGGGAATGGGAGGCCTGAGTGGTAGAGACGAGGTTTGCTCTCAAGGAAGTTAACTCCATCGTACTTTTCACGTTCCGCCTGCATGCAGCTGAGTAGCCTTTGGTGGTTTTGGAGACAGTAGAGAGCCACCCCTCTCTGCATTTGTGTGATGTTGTCTAGTTCATGGAGGGGTCCACCAAGGTGTGCTGAATCAGATAGGCTGAGAGGATGGGAGATATCACAAGAATCTACTACTACCAACATATGGCTTCTCCTCCCTGGACCAGCGGGAAGAAAAAGAGTAAAAATAGAGGCTGAGAATCACACAGGAACCAAATGCTGCTCAGTCTCTTCCTGAGATTTGACCTGGGAGTTTACAAAACAAAACCAGTCCCTTTCAAGCCTTGTAAGATGGAAGAAGCTGTTTCAGAGAGTACTAACATTTTAGATAGAGCAGGCCTTACCCAGATTTGAAAGGCTGAATGAAACCCCCTCCCCACTCCCAAATATTTTCACCCACTAAGCCTAAATTTTTCACTTCAGTTCCTGCCAGGAATCCTATCAAATTAGGTATTTATTTTCATATATTCTTTTTTGATATCAAGCAAATTATCACAATTTCACATGGTTTCAGAAAATAAGTGCAAAAGGCTCAGTAATTATCCTAAGGAAAGGAATAAAAATTTATTAAAGTACGAAGATGTTCATTATAGCATTTTTTATTTTCATGTTTATGTGTTCAATATTCATTTTTAGTGAGACATAGTTAACACACAATAAAAGGCACCGATTTTAAGCAGTTTGATGACTTTTTGGCAAATTAACACATCCTGCTCTCACAACCACACCACAATCAAGGTGTAGAACATTCCATTACTCCTAAAATGTTCCCTATACTCCGTTTGAAGATGATCCTCCTAACTCTGGTGCCAGGCAACACTCATGTGCCTTTTTTTTTTTTTTCTTGAGACAGAGTCTTGCTCTGTCACCCAGGCTGGAGTACAGTGGCACCATCTCGGCTCACTGCAAGCTCTGCCTCCTGGGTTCATGTCATTCTCCTGCCTCAGTCTCCCAAGTAGCTGGGACTACAGGTGCCCGCCACCATGCCTGGCTAATTTTTTTGTATTTTTAGTAGAGACGGGGTTTCACTGTGTTAGCCAGGATGGTCTGGATCTCCTGAACTCATGATCCACCCGCCTCAGCCTCCCAAAGTTCTGGGATTACAGGTGTGAGCCACCACACCCGGCGTGCCTTTTATAACTATAGATTAGTTTTGCCTGCTGTAGAATGCCACATAAATGAAATCACACAGTATGTGCTATTTTAGGTCTGGCCTCTTATATTCAGTATAATGTGTGAAATTTATCCATGCTGTGACATGCTTCAGTAGTCCATTCCTTTTTGTTAACATTATTTCTGCATCTGTAATCACACTTAATATGGAAAGTCTTTTTTTTTTTTTTTGAGATGGAGTCTCATTCCTGTCAACCAGGCTGGAGTACAGTGGCATGATCTCAGTTCACTGCAAGCTCTGCCTCCCGGGTTCGAGGGATTCTCCTGCCTCAGCCTCCCAAGTAGCTGGGATTACAAGCGCCCACCACCACGCCCAGCTAATTTTTTTGTATTAATAGAGACGGGGTTTCACCATGTTGGCCACGCTGGTCTCGAACTCCTGACCTCAGGTGATCCACTTGCCTCGGCCTCCCAAAGTGCTGGGATTAGAGGCATGAGCTACCATGCTGGGCCAAGTCTTTTAAATTCTACCCATTTTAGTGAATATGATCTGGGATCTCCTTGTGGTTTTAATTTGCATTTCTTGAATGACTTCTTATGCTGAACAGCTTTTTGTGTGCTCATTAGCTATTTTTATATCTTATTGTCTTCTTTGACATGTCTCTTTTATCCACTTTATTAGATTGTCTTTTCTGTATTGATTTATAATGCTTTTTAAAAATGAAACCACCTACATGGGGCAGGGCGTGGGGGCTCACGCCTATAATCCCAGCACTTTGGGAGGCTGAGGCAAGGATCACTTGAGGCCAGGAGTTCAACACAAGCCTGACCAACACGGTGAAACCCCATCTCTATTAAAAATACAAAAACAAGCCAGGCATGGTGGCGCACGCCTATAATCCCAGCTATTCAGGAGGCTGAGGCAGGAGAATCATTTGAACCTGGGAGGTGGAGGTTGCAGTGAGCCAAGATCACATCACCGCACTCCAGCCTGAGTGACAGAGTGAGTGACACTCTGAAAAAAAAAAGACCCTACATGTCAGAAAACAGAGATTACGTATTTACATATACAACAAGCTTTTGAAGGCTTCCACCAAGATATAGCAAAACCATCCTTACCAAATTGATAACTGTGCCTAGAAGTGAGGTTGTTCAGACAATTCAATGCATTTAGTCAATAAATGGATAATGGACCATGTTGTCTCATCAATATTCTGTAAGTATCCTTTGTTAGTTGTTATTTTCCTCTTTACCTTTATAATAAGTGTCAAGATTTTGATTCCCAGGTGTTTTTTTTTTTTTTTGCAATTTAATAATTTTTCAAGGAGTCAATTTCAACCAAACACCACATGTTCTCACTCATAGGTGGGAATTGAACAATGAGAACAATTGGACACAGGAAGGGGAACATCACACACCGGGGCCTGTTGTGAGGTGGGGGGAAGGGGGAGGGATAGCATTAGGAGATATACCTTATGTAATTGATGAGTTAATGGGTGCAGCACACCAACATGGCACATGTATACATATGTAACAAACCTGCACGTTGTGCACATGTACCCTAGAACATTAAGTATAATAAAAAAAACCAAATATGTTCTCCAGTTGATGTGCTATAATATATAGTACACACATATACACATATATATAATTGCTTAAAAATAGCTCATGTGGTCTTATCTAAATCACTATGATGAGATAGAGGAGATATTCACACAGGAATCTTGGTGGCTAGACAGATATTCATTGAGTAAAAATGAATTTTGATGTTACTAAATTAAAAATTTCCAATAAAAATTGTCCAGAGGGGCTAGGCACAGTGGCTCACCCCCATAATCCCAGCACTTTGGGAGGCCAAGGCAGGTAGGTCACATGAGGCCAGGAGTTCAAGACCAGCCTGGACAACATGGTGAAACCCTGTCTCTACTAAAAATACAAAAATTAGCTGGGCATGGTGGTGCAAATCTGTAATCCCAGCTACTCAGGAGGCTGAGGCACAAGAATTGCTTGAACTTGGGGGGCAGAAGTTGCAGTGAGCTGAGATCACGCCAGTGCCCTCCAGCCTGGGTGACAGAGTGAGACTTGGCTCTGTCTCAAAAAAAAAAATACTGTTCACAGGATACACTTAACCATGAACACAAACTATCCACCACTTAAATTAGGACTTCAAAATAACCAGAACTTTTATAAAGAAGAACCCACTGGAAAAGGTCATAACTGGAGATTTTTAAAAATACATGTTTAAAATAGAGATTTTAGAAATGATATGAGTATTGATAATAAGGTCTAGAATTTGCCATGGGTGAGGTAGCTAGAAAGTTGTGTAGTGATAAGCTATTACAAAGGAAATGATTATTGGAAGTCATCAAGAAATCTGGAGGATAAGGCATTTGAAGTTTTATGCAGATAGATGCTAATGTTGCACATGATATTTGAAGTTAGAAAAACTGGTCCTTGGTCCCAGATCTGCCTTTTATAGGTTGCATAGTCTTTTTCTCAGCTATTAATATAAAATAGTGACAATAACGGTGATGATGGTGGTGTCTGGCAATGATGATGATGATGTCAGACGATGATATTGGTGGTGATAACAAAAATGATGACTGATTAACTTACCTATTCACAGCCTTAAGGACAGTATATGTGAAGGCAGTTTGTAAACTATAAGGCTCAATACAAATGTAAAATGTTGCTTTTATAATTTGAGGCATCACTTGGTCATTATATTAGCTGGGGTTCAACCAGAGAAACAGAACCAGCAGGAGATATATATTAAGAAATCTGATCGCAAGAAATTTGCTTATGCAACTGTAGGGACTGGCTAGGCATGTCCAAAATCCACAGATCAGGCCATAGTAAGAGTAAGCTGAATCCTCAGGCACGAGCTGAAGCAGTCCAAAGGCAGAATTTCTTCTTCTGGGAAGCCTCAATTCTGCCTTTAAGAACTCTCAACTGATTGAATCAGGCCCACCCAGATTATCTAGAGTAATTTCCACCACTTAAAGACAACCGATTACATGAAAAAATGCTCATCATCACTGGCCATCACAGAAATGCAAATCAAAACCACAATGAGATACCACAGTTAGAATGGCAACCATTAAAAAGTCAGGAAACAACAGGTGCTGGAGAGGATGTGGAGAAATAGGAACACTTTTACACTGTTGGTGGCACTGTAAACTAGTTCAACCATTGTGGAAAACAGTGTGGCGATTCCTCAAGGATCTAGAACTAGAAATACCATTTGACCCGGCCATCCCATTACTGGGTATATACCCAAAGAATTATAAATTATGCTGCTATAAAGACACATGCACACGTATGTTTATTGCAGCTACTATTCACAATAGCAAGGACTTGGAATCAACCCAAATGTCCATCAGTGACAGACTGGATTAAGAAAATGTGGCACATATACACCATGGAATACTATGCAGCCATAAAAAAGGATGAGTTCATGTCCTGTGCAGAGACATGGATGCAGCTGGAAACCATCATTCTCAGCAAACTATCGCAAGAACAGAAAACCAAACACCGCATGTTCTCACTCAGGTGGGAATTGAACAATGAGATCACTTGGACACAGGAAGGGGAAAATCACACACTGGGGCCTGTTGTGGGGTGGGAGGATGGGGGAGGGATAGCATTAGGAGATATACCTAATGTAAATGACGAGTTAAGGGTGCAGCACACCAACATGGCACATGTATACATATGTAACAAACCTGCATGTTGTGCACATGTACTCTCAAACTTAAAGTATAATAAAAAAAAAGAAAAAATAAATTTCTTTAAATTAAAAAAAAAAGACAACTGATTATAGACTTTAACCATATCTACAAAATATCTTGACAACACCACCTAGATTAATGTTTGATTGAATAATGGGGGACTATAACCCAGACGAGTTGGCACATAAAACTGACAATCACAGTCACATACTATTTTGTGTTCATGAGTTCATTATTTAGCTTCTTTGAGCCTGGGTTTCTACATCTCTGAAATGGGAATAACTATCTACTTCACAGGGCAGTCATGAGGATCCAGTGGAATCCTATGTGTTTAAATGAATGTTAACTATAGTAGTCTGCCTTATCCACAGAAGACGCATTCCAAGACCTCTAATGGATGACTGAATACTGCAGATAGTACCACATCCTATGTACACTTTTTCCTATATGTACATACGTATGATAAAGTTTAATTCATAAATTAGACATAGTAAGATATTAACAACAACTAGCAATAAAATAGAACATCTATAAAAATACAGTGGTCCCCCTTATCCATGCGGGATGCCCTCCCAGACCCCCAGCAGATGGCTAAAACTGTGGATAGCACTAAACCCTAGCCAAGGAACATCAAGGTCACCTTTTCACTTAAAGGAAGCACTCATTTACAGCTTCTTTTTGGTATATGCAAACTGCCGGCATCACTACTTTTGCACTTTGGGGGCATTATTAAGTAAAACAAGGGTTATTTGAACACAAGCATTGCAATATTGTGACAGTTGATCTGATAGCCAAGGCCACTACTAGGTGGCTAATGGGCAAGCAGTATTACAGTGCAGAAACGGTGGACAAAACGATGATTCTTGTCCCAGGCAAGACAGTGTGAGATTTCATCACACTACTCAGAACGGAATGCAATTTAAAATTTATGAATTATTTCTAGAATTTTCCATCGAATATTTTCAGACCATGGTTGACCACAGGTAACTGAAACTGCAGGAAGTGAAACCATGGATAAGGGGGGACTACTGTATAAGAGTGAAAATTAAGGAGCTATCAACAGTAGGAAATTAAATTTAGCTAGCTAACCCTTATAAAAATGAAACCTAGACCCTGGGCCTCCCTGGCACCAACTCTTAGTTAACAGGAAAAAAAAAATTACCACCTGCCCATCTATCTCACTGATAACTTGTATAAATTTGTCAGCTACCTAAGAGACTGAGTGATTCACACCACAGTTCTTTAAAAAATAATTCTCATGTAAACAATTGTTTTAAAATGTTTCAGTAACACCAGCCTGTCATCCAAGTTGACACTTTCCCATGGTCCTGGACAAGGCTCAATTCCCTTGCTTTGTCCTTGGGGAGCTGAGCAGAACAATTGCTTTCAGTCTCACAATCTTCTGAAGCAATTCAGCTTCCTAATATTGATATTTAAATCAAACTCACTTTGAGTAGATGGCTGAGCCATCTCCTTTATGAAGGAGAAAAATCCCTGCACATACCATAAACCCCACATAAACCAAGCAATATAAAAGATTCAGATCAAGGTGAATAATATGCAAAATAAGGATTTCTTCTACATGCACAATAATGGTGCTTTGGAATTCATTTTTCAAAGTTGCGTCTTAAAGGTATGTTCTCCAGGCCAAAAAGTAATTGCAAATTCACCTCAGCAGGTTGAGAGAAACTCAGAATTTGTCTGAGAAAATACTTTTGCAATTTGTAGAGGATGGCATTTGGGAGGATATTAGGTTCTACAGCAGTTAGGATCGGGATTAATAGCCACAGGTAAGCAGAACCGAAATAACACTAAAGCTGATGGAAGATACAGTTTTTGTCAGTTCTCAAGAGTGCCAATCTTCCCAAATAGAGTTTCATTCACCTGCCCAATTTTCACTGGGTCAAATCACATTATATATTTCATAATCACCAATTCCCAGACAGCCAAGCAATTGAATACAATGAAATCCTTAAATGTCTCTCTTGCCCATGTTCTACAGTTCAACTCCATCTTTTCTTCTCTTATTTTTCTATATGCTTTATCCCAAATCAAAGATCAATTGGTCATAAGTATTTAACCAGCAACAATCTTTGAATGCCTACTATGTGTCAGGCACCTTTATAATAAACTGAGATTATAATAAAATATAAAATAATATTCTCTTGATTTCAGAGACCAGGACATGTGATAATTTTAAAAATCACTATAACATGAGATGTGAAATAAGATGTAGGTGAAAGTGCTCTAGGTGCCCAGAAGGAGAAACGCCAAATAGAGCTGAGCAGGGGGACAAGAAGTTTGAATTGCTTCTTGAAGGTGGGAAAGCGCCTTCCAGACACAACTGACACTTAATGAATATTTACTACATATCCTAAAGTCAGCTGAGTACTTTATGTGTGTTAAATAGAAACCACAGGCTGGGCTCGGTGGCTCAAGCCTGTAATCCCAGCACTTTGAGACTTCAAAATAACCAGAACTTTTATAAAGAAGAACCCACCGGAAAAGGTCATAACTGGAGATTTTTAAAAATACATGTTTAAAATAGAGATTTTAGAAATGATATGAGTACTGATAATAAGGTCTAGAATTTGCCATGGGTGAGGTAGCTAGAAAGTTGTGTGGTGATAAGCTATTATAAAGGAAATGATTATTGGAAGTCATCAAGAAACCTGGAGGATAAGGCATTTGAAGTTTTATGCAGATAGTTTTATGCAGATAGATGCTAATGTTGCACATAATATTTGAAGTTAGAAAAACTGGTCCTTGGTCCATCTCAAAAAAAAAAAAAAAGAAAAAGAAAAATAGGGAAGATTTGTTAGTATTCTGTGAGTTCCACAATCATGTCAAGCATATTAAAAATTCCTTAAATTCCTATTACCTTTTCCTGTTTTTTTTCACAAGAGGATTTAACTTCATCAGAATTTTTCTTTACATTTAAAACACCTGCATCTTCAGTTGCCTCATCATCCGGCAAAGCAAAGTTCACTCTTTTCAAGCTGTCTTTACATTGTTTACTGTCTTCACTTTCTTCCAGATCATCATCTTCATCCCTACAATACCAAAACTCCTATAAAAAGAAATATTATACTGCTTTCCATTAGAAAAACAAAAGGAAACATCTTTTCGGGCCGGGCGCGGTGGCTCAAGCCTGTAATCCCAGCACTTTGGGAGGCCGAGACGGGCGGATCATGAGGTCAGGAGATCAAGACCATCCTGGCTAACACCGTGAAACCCCGTCTCTACTAAAAATACAAAAAAAAAACTAGCCGGGCGAGGTGGCGGGCGCCTGTAGTCCCAGCTACTCCGGAGGCTGAGGCAGGAGAATGGCCTAAACCCGGGAGGCGGAGCTTGCAGTGAGCTGAGATCCGGCCACTGCACTCCAGCCCGGGCTACAGAGCAAGACTCCGTCTCAAAAAAAAAAAAAAAAAAAAAAAAAAGAAACATCTTTTCCCTTAATAGAGTTCTTCTTTTATATGCCTAATGCAACAAAATACTCAGAACTTCCAAAACCATTCAGGTATTAAGGAACAGAAGGTATCATTTAAGTGAAATACTATATAAGAAACAGAACAAAAAGCATCCAATATATAGAAAATAAATTGTTCATCAATCTATAATGCAAACCTCCTATCTCACAAAAATAACAGGATTTTTGGGGCACAAAACCAAATCAAAGTTCCTTGCAAGAAAGGTTTAATTGCTACTGTCAGTAACATTTTTCATAATTAAATGATCTCTAATATCCCTTTAAATCCAGAGACTTTTCTCTGGCTATCTTGAGAGTATCTGATATGACAGAATCTAACTTCTTAAAACAAACATGTGAAAACTACAAGTACAAATACATGATTGGGCAATTCCAGCTCACAATGTAAAGGATGGTTCAAAATACTCACATTTCAGAAATGCTTAGTTCTTCTGCTGCTTCTTCAACAATTTCATCATCTTGTTTGAACCCAGCTCATCATCATGATCACTTGCTATGTCTTCATCACTTTCGACTGGATCAAAAAAACTTTGTACTTCACATTTCTGAAACTTTTACCTGACTAAAATAAAAAGACTTTTTAAACTATTAGGAATAGAAAAATACCTTATTAACACATGTATATATACTTATGTATACTATATGTCTCCATTACTAACTTAATAACACTACAAGCCAAAAATAGTTATTAGGTGAAATTGGCAACTAAAAACACTACCATAAAACTATTGTAAGAACAACTGGAACATAAACTGAATGGAAGTACAGATTCATTTATAACTGATAAGATAGAGCACAATATTTCTTAGCTCTAAATCTTCTGACTACAATTACATCTCTCCTAGAAAAACAGAACAAAAGCTAATTGGAGGAGGAGGAAAGTGCTCTCTCCTCTCTCAAAACTTTACCTTAAGTGTTTTACTTCCAAACAGTCCCCCCTCATCTTCATCAGAATCAATATCTTCAAAAAAATCAGTATCTTCCACCTCATCATCATTATCATCTTTTTGTTCCTCTTCTTTTTCCCTGTTTTCTAAATCGGCCTCATTTTCAGAGAGTTGGAAGAATTTCTTGTCTACTATGGACTTTTCTCTTGGTTTTCCATGTCCTTTGTTTTGCACCTTGCTCTGCTGTTCCAGTTTGTCGATATCAAAGTCATGGTCAGAATCCTCATCACTGAAAACTGGGTTTTTCCTCAGATCGAATTTGCTTGAGTTTTTAGCTCTCTCACCCACTTCAGGATTGTCACCACCCATATCTGACATTTCCTCCTCCTCCTCTAAATCTTCTAGGTCCTCCTGGCCATCAGCCTCTGTCTCTGAACCATCCTCTTCACCCTCCTGTTTTTCACTCTCTGAGAGAAGACTGATACCTTCATCTTTGTTTCACTAACTGCACTCTGGAAGCATTGTAAAATTGGTTCATTTTGCAATTCCAGTTGTTGCAAAGTCTGCTCATCATCAAAACTTTCTATCACAAGTTTTTGTAAAGGGCTTCCACAGATCCTACCATTCTCTAACATTTTATTAAAGTCATAAAGCACTTTTGTTAAAGAAGTGAACTTTGATGCCAATCCATCTTGAATCCTATAGGGAGGAATTAAATGAGATTTAGAGTTATAGGTAATAATTTCACAGCCCTCTTAATTAAAAGAAAAATAAAAACCCAAACTCTTATAAAATCAAATTTGAATGAAGTGTAAGTATAGATTCTGGCCCCAGCAACATATAAGCTGATGAGCCACACTGATATATGAAACCTGTCAACCAAGTATTTGTGAATCAACTGTATAGATTTTAGGCAGGAAAAGCATTACAAATCTATTTGCTTGGAGATATATAGTGAATTAGCCTTAAATTACCAACTCTGCTACATTATATACCACTCCATTCATTTATTCCCTTATTCCTTCAGTGATCAACATTTACTTTGGCTACAGTAGTCAAGGAAAACCTCTCTTAGATATGACATCTGAGGTGAAACCTACAGATAAGGATAGTCTTATAAAGACCAGGAAACATGTATTCCAGGCAGAAGAAACAGCAAGAACAAATTCTCTAAGATGCAATTGAGCTTGGTAAGCCTGAGGAATAAAAAAGTGAGCATGGCTAGAGTGTGAAGGAGGCAGAAGGTGAAGTTGGAGAGTCTGATGGGAGCCAAATTCTGCGGGGCTCAAGGGTAAGAGTTCGCCATTTTAAGTGTAATAAGAAAACATGAGATTTTAAGCCGAAGGATGAAATGATGATTTACACTAAGGAAAAAGAAAGGGAGGAAGGAGGAGGAAGAAAGTAGAGTGATTAGAAGGTTGATGCAGAATTCCAGGCAAAGGATGATGGTGATTTAAGCTGGAGTTAGAGCAGTGAATATGCTGAGTACAGTTTGGAGGTATAACTGACAGGATTGCTAAGGAATTAGATACAGAATAGAGAAAAATGAAGTCATCAAAGCAGCAGCCTAGTTTTATGTGTGAGCAACTGGAAAGACAGAACTGCCATTTACTGTGATAGGCAAGGCTTGAGTGGTGGAGCATAGGGAAAGGACTTCAGAGGATGGCAGTATAGGTGGGTAGAAACAACATTCTACTCTATTTTGGACACAGTGCATTTGCGATGCTGAGAGTACCAAAATTAAAAAAATCGTTAAAAGCCGTACAGTGCGGATATCCCAGTTGCGCGCTACTGAATTCCAACTAAGCTCAGTCTGTAGTTGCTAAGAGCCGGGAACTCAAGGGAGAAGTTGGAGTTTGAAATATAAATGAGTTATAATTTTATAGATCATATTTGAAGTTCTTCAACAAAATAGGCATAAAACGCTTGTGCTGGAAAGAGGCATGAAAGTTCTAATTCTCAAGAAGCTTAGTTGGGGTGGGTAGACAAGTGACAGTTTGTACTTTCAATAACGTATGATGACAGGTAAACACTGAGTGCTTTAGGAGCACATAGGCAGAAGAAGAAACCAACACAGTTTGTGTGTAGGGGGATGGCGGCCGTAATAAGCCTCAAGGGGAGCTTCTAGGCGTTAATAGCTGAGGTCAGGTTGATTTCAATAACATTCAACTGAGAGATCCATACGGTAAAAATTTTAACAATTTTAAAAATTTTGATAGCCTAGGAAAGTATAAACCCTGAAATGTGGGGGAAAGTGATTTACATTTCCTCTTACCTTCCCCCAGCTCCACAATTTGCCAGGGGTCTGCAATCCGCTTCCACGTGAGACCGCCGTCGCACCCCAAGCCCGGGATCTGCGCACTTATGTGAGGATGCACTGGGGCCAGCCGGTGGCTTTGGGGACCTCCGTCAGACGCCGCTCCAGGGTCCCTCGGCGCCAGGCCAGTGGGGCCATGGCTGTCTGCAGCTCCTGACACAACGCTGCAAGCAAGGCAAGAGAAACCGCGCCGCAAGGATGTGCGCCGCCAGGAAACCGCACCGCAAGGATGTGCCTAGCGCAACTTGGGAGCTCAGAGCCAAAGTTCCCCTGCGCACAAGTTCCGGACTCACCCCAAGTCCGAGCCAATGGCAGCGCGAGCGCTTTCGCGTGTGCAGGGGGGCGGGAAATAAAAATTGCTACTGGTCAACCCAAGCACCTTTGAACTGTTTCCAAACCTCGTTTTGTATTTTTCAGGGGCCCACAAAGGATGGCGCCTCCTGGCTTTAATTTCTGCTTTAGGTAAAGTGGGCTGTTGTATGCAGTAGGAAATCAGTGGCCTTCGCCAGGCCCCCTGCCGGTGGCCCCGCCCTCCGCCGCGCACCTCCCTCAATCAGCAGCTGCTGGGGAGGCAGCGGAGATGGCTGGTGCTGAAGGCTGTGGCTGCCAATGCATTAGGTGAATACCGGGCGCCAGCGAAGGTCGCGGTGGGTTGGGGCGCGTGGGAATGGAGCCCGGGGGAGAAGGAGGCCTCAACGCGGCCAAAGCACCTTGACGATGCGCTGTCTCCCCGCGGGTGCGTTCTGCGGCCACTGCCGGCACCTAGGCAGAGGGTACCTTCCAGAAACGGCTCAGCTTAGTGCGGGAATGGCCTTCTTGTGCATGAGTCCCACTGCCACTCGGGAGCTGTGCGCCCTGGGCGCTGCACCTTCCAGTATGTGGGCGGGAGAGGCGGGGGATCTTGTCCAGAGGGTCCGACAGGACAGGGACTGAGATAAATGGAAGCCGGTAGGTAAGTGTTATTTTGCCGCTCACCCATAAAGAGGCTGGGGGAGAAAACAGAAAGGAGAGCAAGTCCTGTTTAAAAAAAAAAAAAAAATCTGGCCAGGAGCGGTGGCTTACGCCTGTAATCCCAGCACTTTGGGAGGCCCAGGCGGCGGATCACAAGTCAGAAGACCGAGACCATCCTGGCTGCTACGGTGAAACCCTGTCTCTACTAAAAATACAAAAAATTAGCCGGGCATGGTGGCATGCACCTGTAGTTCCAGCTACTCAGGAGGCTGAGGCAGGAGAACAGCGTGAACCCGGGAGGGGGAGCCTGCAGTGAGCCAAGATCACGCCACTGCACCCCAGCCTGGGCAACAGAGCAAGACTCTGTCTAAAAAAAAAAAAATAAAATAAAATAAAATAAAATGAAATAAAATAAAATACAGGGCCTGAAGGTGAGTAATAGCAAGATGGCTGTCACAGGACCTACAAAGGGGAGAAGCCATGTCGCCCAACTCCAGAGGTTGGTATAAGAGTTTGAGAGGCGTTGTCTGATTTCAGAAGCCTTTTTATGTAAATGCCGGGCAATGTCTCATACTCTCCCTGACTCGTTAGTGTAAAAGCAACACTCTTCCCCTAAGAAGGTGCAAAGTCCTCCTTTCTCAGCAGCAAGGAGGTTTAGGCCTCAGCAGTTTTGGAAAATCACTGCTGCCAAAGAGTATATTTGGGATTGTAGAGTAAGAATAGATTTTGTTATTTCTCACAAACAATCTGAGACACCCTTTGAGAGTGTGCGGTAGTAGGAGAGTGAAGTGGACAAACCTGCTATTCCAGTTCCTGTAGCAGTGGCCATTCCTAACCCTATAACTAGGGGCATTAGTTGTATGGCCCTGCACTGATGGACTTGTGCTTTGAGATGCATTGATAGGGTTTGATTTCCTGGGGCAATATCAATGTTGGGACTTAGGAAGACTAAGGTGCAGGTGCCTGTCCAGTTGGTGGAGAGGCAGATATGGGTTGAAGTTCCACATAAGAAGAATATGTCTGGCCAGGCACGGCGGCTCACATCTGTAATCCCAGCACTTTGGGAGGCCGACACGGGTGGATCATGAGGTCAGGAGATTGAGACCATCCTGGTTAACACAGTGAAACCCCGTCTCTACTAAAAATAATAAAAAAATGAGCCAGGCATGGTGGCAGACACCTGTAGTCCCAGCTACTTGGGAGGCTGAGGTAGGAGAATGGCGTGAACCTGGGAGGCGGAACACTGGAGCTTGCAGTGAGCCAAGACTGCGCAACTGCACTCCAGCCTGGGCAACTCCATCTCAAAAAAAAAAAAAAAAAGAATATGCCTTGGCTGTAGACAGAACTGGTTGTGTATGTTAAACAGGTGTGTGAGTTTGTTGTTTTCATTTTCCCATACCCCTAGAGTACTTGCCAAGGTAGCTCTGGTGAGCAGCTGGAAATGGGTATGGGGAGCAAACTGAGTGGCTCCCTGTGTTCTATTTTCCCATTGGAGAGAAAACTGTTTTGTATCTACTGGGAACCATTCAAGGGAGTGATTGAAAAAGGGGATGAGAAGGCAATCATTAATGGTGGGGGCGCTGCTGCAGGGAATCCAGGGGTGAATGGTCATGCAGGGAGTACGTTTGCCGTTACAAAACCCGGACTGTTTGTTAAGCAGGGAGGAGGTGATGATTTTTGGAGGCCCTGAGAAGCGGACAAGCCATCTGAATGGAGCTGTTTGGGTGACTCAGAAGTTACCATGATCAGTTGGGGCTTGAAGTTGTAGCGTGTAACTACACTGATAGGATAGTAGGTGCCCCAGGGGCAGGCCTGATAACAGGTTGTGCTGGATGCATAAAGGGGCTTGGAAAGTTAAGACAGTATTTGTGGTTATAGGGTCGTGTATGGGCTTTTCACTGCTCATGTAATAGGTGTGGTTGGAAATGTAAGAGAGTAAAAGCTGGATTGCGCATCCTGTTAGGGCATTCTTGGTAAGCTTTGGGGAAGCCGAAATCTAGGAATTATTTCATGAATTAGGACTTTAACCACTTCCCAAGCCTTCTCTGTCTTACAGGGGAAGGCTTCTATCCAATTTGTAAAAGTATCGACACAGACCAACAAGTATTGAAATCCCCTTGGCTTAGGCATATGGGTGACATCTAACTGCCAGTCCTCTCCAAGATAGTGCCCTGTTCTTTGTTCCCCCAGAGGGGCCTTACGATGGACCAAGGGATTTTTGCTTTGGCACACCTCACAGGCTTTGACTACTTGTTGGATGGTCTGGAGGATATTTGGCCCTGTAAATAAGGATTTGACCATTTGATGAGTGTTTTCAATACCCATATGAAAAGTTTGGTGAAGGGTCTTAAGTATTTTCCATTGACTGGCTTTGGGCATGAATACCTTTCCCTCTTCTGTCATTAACCACCCGAGGGGAGGAAACTACACCCCCATGAAAGTCCCCATTCTGTTTCAGTCAGGGAATTCTGGGGCTTAATCTCTTGCAGGGGGTTGTTCCATACCAAGGGTCCTTCCATAGATATTTCTAATGGGAGGTTCAGCCTGGCAGCAATTTTGACCTCAGTGTCTGTCCGATGATTTCCTTCTGCCTTTTCTCCTCCACCTTTTTGATGACTTTGGCAGTGTAAGACTGCCATCTCTTTGGGTTTTTGCACTGCATGCAATAACTTCATGATTACCTTGTGGTATTTAATGGGGGTTCCCCCAGAGGTTAGGAAATCCCTTTCTTTCTAAATTGCAGCATGGGCATGTAGGATAGATAAACATACTTTCTATCTGTATACACATTTATTCTTTTTCCCTTTCCCAGTTCTAAGGCTCAGGTAAGCACCACCGGTTCTGCTAACTGGGCACTGGTCCCTGGGGGAAGACGCTTACTTTCAAGTACTGTTACATCACTAACTATGGCATAACCTGCCATTCGTATCCCATTCCTCACAAATGAACTTCCATTGGTATATAGCTTAAAGTCAGGATTAGCTAAGGGGACTTCTAAGAGATCATCTTGGGCGGCATAAGTTGACTACAATTTATTGGCAGTCATGCTCGATTGGTTCCCCATCCTCTGGGAGAAAAGTGGCAGAGCTGAGGGCTGCACACATGCGTATTTGAAGCACTGGTCCCTCAAGGAGTAGCACCTGGTATCTAAGCAGGTGGTTGTCTGATAGCCACAAATTTCCTTTGGCACCTAGTATGCCGTTTACATCATGAGTAGTTCAGACAGTGAGATCCTTTCCTTGTATTATTTTGATAGCCTCTGATACTAAGATAGCAACCACTGCAACTACCTGTAAACAGTGAGGCCAGCCTTTTGCCGCTACAACAATTTCCTTACTTAGGTATGCCACTGGTTGTGGGGTTGTCCCACAAATCTGAGTAAAAACTCCAACAGCTATTCCCACTCTCTCTGTGATGTATAAAGAGAAGTTTTATCCTGTGGGAAGGCTTAAGGCTGAAGCTTGTACTAGGGCCTGGTTTAAGGTTTTGAAGGCTGTCTCTGCCTCTGGTTCCCATTCTACTAGATGAGTATTTGCCCTCTGGGTCTCCTTGATTAGAGTATAGAGTGGCCTGGCCATCTCACTATATCCAGGGATCCATAGTCAGCAAAAGCCAGTGATTCCAAGGAACCCCTGCAACTGCTTTAATGTCTTAGGGCAAGGATAAGCCAGTATGGGCTGTATTTGTTCCTAGCTCAGGGCCCTGGTTCCTCTGGCTAAGATTAGGCCTAGATATTTGACTTGTTGTAGGCAGAGCTGGGCTTTCAGTTTAGATGCCTTGCACCCTTGATTAGCTAGAAAGTTCAAGAGATCTAGAGTAGCCTGCTGGCATGAGGCTTCTGAACTGTTGGCCAAAAGTAAATCATCCAGATTCCGTTCCAAGATGGCTGAATAGGAACAGCTCTGGTCTGCAGCTTCCAGCGTGATTAATGCAGAAGAGGGTGATTTCTCCATTTCCAACTAAAGTACCTCGTTCATCTCATTGGGACTGAATGGACAGTGGGTGCAGCCCACAGAGGGTGAGCTGAAGCAGGGCAGGGCATCGCCTCACCCAGGAAGTGCAAGGGATCGGGGAATTTCCCTTTTCTAGCCAAGGAAAGCTGTGACAGACTGTATCTGGAAAACTGGGACAC